AAATCAGAATGAGGGCTTTTCTGAGAGCCTTTGATCCAGAAGGCTAGCAGGCCATTGAAGAAGATACAGAAAGTGTTGACAGTCCGAGCAATCTGAGAGCCCTTAGCACTATTCGTAGAGCAATTTCTGCTGAAGAGCTGAAGAACAGCAACGGGTTGTTCGTTGCACAAAGGCTAAAGAGGCATGGGAAAGTTTGAGCCAATTTCATGAAAGAGGAAATTCACATTCACCACCATCCAGCAAATTTTCAGTCTTAGTTGCTAGATTGGAGGAGGCACAGGAGAATGAAGAGCAAAAAGAGGATGATGACACATCTGATGACAATGATAAGATCAATGGCGATGAACTACAACAAGTTTACGAAAAGCTATACGAGGAATCTCTGAATTTATCCAAAACCAACGACAAACTCTCTCTCAAGCTCAAAACAATTGAGAGTGAGAATGTCAGGTTGAAAGGAGAACTTATAGCAGCAAAGCAAAATATCGTCAAGATCTCGAGTGACAGGCAAGACTTATGTGGAAAACTACTATCCTGTGAAACTGAAAGGAATGAACTTCTGAAGGTATATTCCACATATGAAGAAAAGCTTGAAAGTCTTGAGCTGTCACAAGCCAAATTGGAAGAGATAGTTTGTCAAAAAGATGTAGAGCTCCGTGTTGCTAGAGCCACTATTGCCATGTGGAACAAAGGTTCCAAATCTTTAGAAGACATCCTCGGGTCTCAACAAATGGGTTGCGACAAAAGCGGGTTAGGCTATGGTGCAACAGCTCACAAGGGACATGCCTTTACTTCACATGACAAGAAGACTCAAGCAAAGGGAAAATTGCAGGTAGACCAGGCTGATCTCTCTCTTCGTCTACCTAAAGCTGGTAAGATCAACAAAAAGGAGGTAAAACCGGTTTTTATTTGTCATCACTGTGGTAGGTATGGCCACATTCGTCCTTATTGCTATGAATTGTTTGGTAAGGTGTCTCAAAAGAGTAGAAATTCAAATACTTTTTGGGCTAGGAGACAACCTTACATGTCTAGGCGGAATACCAAGACTAAAAAGATTTGGGTGAGAAAAGAAGATTTGACTTGTTTAGTTGTTCATATTGCTCTAAAAGCACGTGATTCACACATGTGGTATCTTGATAGTGGGTGTTCTCGTCATATGTCCGATAACAAATCCTACTTCACCTCCCTTGAAAACTATGAAGGAGGAATTGTTACCTTTGGAGATGGCGGCACTTCGAGAGTCATTGGTAAGGCTCTATAAGTGTTGCTGGTCTTCCCAAGCTAGATAATGTTCTACTAGTTGATGGTCTTAAAGCAAATCTTTTAAGCATTAGTCAAATGTGTGATTCCCATCATGAAGTATTGTTTTCAAAAAATAAACGTGAAATTTTGGATAAAAAGGGAAATACTGTCTTACATGGGGTTCGCACATCTGATAACTGCTATGGGATTGTTACTACTAATGATCTCACTTGTCACTCTGCCAATGCCATCATTAGTAACATTGACCTGTGGCATCAAAGATTAGGTCACATGAACTTCAATGACCTAACTAAGATAGCCAACAAAGAGCTTGTGAGAGGAGTACCTAAATTGGGTAAGAATTTGAGCCATGTGTGTGGACCATGCCAACTTGGAAAGCAAACCCGTGCCCATCATAAAAAGGTGAACAGCTTTACAACCAAACGTCCTCTCGAATTGGTTCACATGGATTTAATGGGTCCTACTCGCACTGAAAGCATCGGAGGTAAAAGATACATTTTTTTAACTGTTGATGATTTTACTCGATTTTCGTGGGTAAATTTTTTAAGGGAAAAAGCTGATACGTTTGATGCTTTCCAGGCCTTAGTCCCTAAAATCCAAAATGAACAGGGTGTTTCCATTGGGCGTATCATAAGAATCCGAACAGATCATGGTCGTGAGTTTGAAAATTGTTCATTTTTAGATTTTTGTGATACGCATGAAATTAAGCATGAATTTTTTACTCCAATTACTCCACAACAAAATAGAGTTGTTGAGAGGAAGAATAGGGTTGTTCAAAAAATGGCCAGGGTCATGCTCCTTAGCAAAGAAGTTACTCCTAAGTTTTGGGCTGAAGCCTTAAATACTGCTGTGTATGTCATAAATCGCGTGTATTTAAGGCCCGGCACTTTACAAACTCCATATGAATTGTGGAAGGGTTTGAAACCTAATGTAAAATACTTCAAAACTTTTGGGAGTAAGTGTTACATCTTCAAAGATAGAGAGCCTTTGGGCAAATTTGACTCCCGAAGTGATGAAGGTATTTTTCTAGGGTATTCAACCACTAGTAGGGCTTTTACAGTCTATAACCTGCGAACTTCATCTTTAATGGAATCTATAAATGTGGTTATAGATGACACAGGTGCACCTACTCCAGCAACAAATGAGGATGATAATGATGAGTCGCCAATCTTGGATACGGAATCACAAAATCAAGGAAAAGGTGCGGACCCATCACAAGAAATGGTGACAGTACCATCTTCACAAGTAAGGTCAAGCCCAAAGAGTGCTCCCAGGGACATCACTCCTGTTGCCCCTGTCACCGCAAGTCCTGAGCTTAAACCATCAGCTAGGGTGAAACTGAATCATCCAGCTCAACAGGTGATTGGAAATGTCTCGGATCGAATGAAAACCCGAAGACAGATTCGGGATGAGGTATCACATATGTGTTATGTTTCTTTAATTGAACCTAAGAATTTTAAAGAGGCCTTGCTAGATGATAGTTGGGTCAATGCTATGCATGAAGAATTAGGTCAATTTGAACGTAACAAAGTATGGACTCTAGTTCCTAGACCTAGAGACATGAATGTGATAGGTACCAAGTGGATCTTTAAAAATAAATCTGATGAGAATGGTACAGTTGTTAGGAACAAAGCTAGGTTGGTTGCTCAAGGCTACACACAAGTAGAAGGTATTGACTATGATGAGACGTTTGCCCCAGTTGCACGTCTCGAATCTATTCGTATTTTGCTTGGTGTTGCATGTTTTCTTGGCTTTAAATTGTTTCAAATGGATGTGAAAAGTGCCTTTTTGAATGGGTACTTGAGAGAAGAGGCATATGTTGAGCAACCAAAAGGGTTTGAGGACCCTAAATGTCCTAATCATGTCTACAAGTTAGACAAGGCTTTGTATGGATTGAAACAAGCCCCTCGAGCTTGATATACAAAACTGGATAATGCAAATCTTAATAATGATTTTCAAAGGG